TAGAATACTACATAATCTTCAAAATATAAATCAATAGGTCTAGCGATTTATCCATTTTGATCATATGAAAAAATAAGTATATATTGATGCATTTTAGATTTTAATATGACTCTTTTGACATAATTTTCTGAGAGCATGAACCTAAAATAAAAATAAAAATACAAAAAGTTAAAATACCATAAACACAAAAGAAATGAAAATTAAGCACTAATATATAGTATCAATAAAAAAGTATAATAGATCTAAAATACTACATAATCTTCAAATTTTATCATCTCGATGGATTTTAATTTCAATACTACATATGCATATAAAATTACATATAAATCAAACATATTGAATACATATGATATATGAAAAATCAATCAATTTTTTTTTTTTAAAATCAACACATCTCAAAATCATAAAAAGAAGGTTTACGCCTTTTCTTAAATATGCTTGCTATCAATGTAATATTCAACAAAATAAGTGGAAATAAATTTATTTTTTCGCACAAGTTATAAATGCATATTTTTATATTAAAATTATTATAAACTATGTCGAACAAATATTTACTGCTTAAAGCATGTATAACTTTAACATAAATAATCAAGAAAAAAACTTCATAGCATTGTTAATTGTATAACATAGAACAATAATTCTTCAAAGTTTAAAGGGGGGGGGGGGGGGGGGGGGAGGGGGGGAAATGAACATGTCAAAAAATTAATGGTATTCACTGTGATGTCAAAATCTACTTTGTAATAATTTCCTCAATAAAACTATCTAATATTACTTCAAAAATATTCAAAAAATTGAATAAAAGAACTAAAATAAAGAAAATTAAAAGAAAGAAATTTCAGAAAGTACTAAAATTTATCTTAATTTGTCTTCCTAATTTTACTATTTGACACGTTTTCATAAATTAAACCTTGAATGTCCTTAGGTCAGAAAGGGAAAAAACCTAGGGCTTTCTCTTTCTCTGACGGCTCCTTTCGGCCTCTCATGGCTGCTACGGCCATTGGACGACCTCCTCTTGAGTTTGTCCAGCCCGCCCCACCACCCCAAATCACCACATACGTCACCCTTATCGGTTACAATACTCTTAACCCCAAGCAATCTGCCCTAAATAACTAAAAAAACAATCATAAAAATATGTCGAAATTGTTCACGGAGAACCTACTATCACGTTTTAACAAAGGAAAGACAAAACTTTATGATCGAAGAAGGATTGCATCAAGCAGTGGTTTAAATTATCTTATGGTATGATAGATTTGAGGGTATTAAGGTCGATTTTGTCGAAACATCTTGGTACCAAGGGCAACTATTTAATTGACTTACTTGCTCCAAGACAAATTTTGTTGAAATTTGATCAATATGAAGATTTTGTACTAGCTTTATCTCCCTCAGGATTATCTTCTCTACAATGGAAAAAATCACCAATATATGGTACTTCCATGGTCCATTGGATATAATCCTACGGAGGAAACGACTTTAGCTGTGATTTGAATTTCTTTACCGGACTTATCTCCTGATTCGTTTGCAAAGAAGTCTTTGTTGTCTCTAGCATCAGCAATTGGGAAATCAATAGTCATAGATAAAACTACTCAAATCAAGTCAAGACCAAGCATGACGAGGGTCAAGGTTATACTTGATCTATTTGAAAAACTTTCAAATCGTATAAGGTTGCATTTTGTGGATGAAAAACTTGGTAAGTTGATCGAGTTTTTTCAGGAGGTTGTATATGATAACTACCTCTGTATTGCAATTATTGTAAGCACCAAAGTTGTGATGAAGTTAGTTATTGTTTGATCTTGAAAAGAAATCAAAATAACAAACAAATTGATGATACCATTGAGGCTACTTTAAAAGGTACTAGCAATAGTGAAAAATATGAAGGTGATGCGAGGGAAATACTAAATGAAAAAAGGGTGGTGGATGTCGATTAAAGTAAAGCTACTACTTTAGATCGACAATTGGTTGTTGCCACTTCTAAGCAAAATCGTGCAGACTTAATGAATATTGATACAGGGGAAACACCAAGAGTTGGGGTTGATGCGCCGCTAGTTGATTCATGACAAAACTAATAGATACAACTGATGTTGAAGATACTAAAAAATTCTAGGCAACATTTTTTGCAACTTGAAAACGAGAATGCAACTAAAAACTAGACACTAGTTGCACACAAAAATTCAACTAGTAGTCGGACCACAACTAGTTAAAATAATTCTCCATGTAGTGGAAAGAGTGCGACTAGAAATTTTCAGGACAATGAGAAGAGACAAGAGATTAGTAATGTCTCAAGAAACCTATTATGTTTGAATAACTTTGATGCTTTATTGAATGCTACTGGAAAAGATGGTAATATTATGGCTCCAACATTATATCTTTCTAATACTGGGGTAGTTAAGATTATTGAAGAAAATCGAAATGTCATGCTACTCAAATTCAATCCAATGGTTAAGTCACTCATGGTCACATTGAACACCTCGACTCATAAGATCTCTTCTATCTTCGGAGTCGCTTGGTGAATCTGCACAGCTAGTAAGATCAACAAAGAATGACAATGATTTGGTCCAAGAAGAGCAGGTTTCACCACCTGCTATAAATAGAAAATTAAGCCAGAAGCACTTACTTGTGCCTAAATGTCTGATTGCAAAGAAGAATGATTCTAAGGCCTTAACGTCGAATACAATTGATTTGGGCGAGGATTTTCTTGATGAAGATAGGGAAGAGCTGGACATATGATTTGGTAGAGTGGCTAGGGATGAGGATATATCATCTAGGTAACAAAGAAGTGGAAGCAATAAAAGCAAAAAAGAAGACACATGAAAGGCAACATAGTTGGGACAGTAAAGCGACTGAGGAGTTTGTTTCAAAGCCCCTACCGATGCGACAGGCAAAGCAGAACTATATGACAATATCAATAGGTTCAACAAGATCTAATAAATCCATAAGAAGGTATGAATTATCAAGTGTTGTTGGATATGTTTGAAGAAGAAGATAAGAGAAACATGCTTTCGTAACAGAAAGTTTGAGGCTGATAGCTCAACCTTCTTCTTGATTGTCATATTTTTACATTATTTAAGCATCCTCATTTGTAATATCATCATGGATTGTATTACAAACTTTGCGGTGATCTGAAAATACTTAGTTTTTTCTAGCTCTTATTTCGTTCATGCTTGTTAGTTAGTAGAAGTTATGTACCTCATTAGGATTGATACGGTAAGGCGTAGCCCCACTGCTTGTACTTATCTCTATTGATATTTTTTTATTTTTAATAAAAGACCGCTAGATACTCTGTCTAGTGGTAAATTTGAAGGAAAAAAATAATAATTAAACCTTAGTCATATTTATTGTCGTTTTGTTGGACTCAGATTAGATGTCTGCACAAACATCATATCTTAATTAAGAAAGGAATAGAAGAGGCCTAATTAAGAAATTAATTTATTTTTGAGGAATTAAAAAGGGGTGATTAGAAAAATAAAGACAATACTAATTTTAGGAAGATATCACATCATCGGGCTCGTTCAATTATGTGAGAATTTAAAGGGATAATTTTACAGAATGTCAAACTTATAATCTAAAATAAATGGAGTAACTACTGTTTGATTTAATTGTGCCCCGTAGCAAACGTTTGTCAGTCGCCTCTCTCCCTCCAAATTCTCGATTGCCACTCTCCCTTTCTCACTCGCCTCTCTCGCTTTATACAACACAATTGTATAAATTGTGTTTCTGTTTGTATAAAGCGAGAGTAAATTGTATATACACATACAAATACATATATATTCGTCCTATACACTTATAATTATACAATAAAAATATTCCCCTGCCCAGTTCTCTTTTGCCTTTCTCTCTTTCTCGTTTTATACAAACACAGATTATACAATATAAATGTAAAATTTATGTTTGTATAATGTATAATTTATGTTTGTATAAAGTGAAAGAAAATTATATATACATATATATTCGTCTTATACACTTATAATTATACAATACAAATATTTCCCTACCCAGTTCTCTTTTGCCTTTCTCTCTTTCTCGTTTTATACAAACACAGATTATACAAATATAATGTATAATTTATGTTTGTATAAAGCAAAAGAGAAAGCGATTTTTGATATACAAATATTTTTGTCAACGATTTATACAAACGAGAGGCTAACAATAATTTATACAAATGGCCTACCGGCGAAATTATACAAATCTGAAGAGGAGCCAACGAATTATACAATTGCTTCTTTTTGTATATACAAATATTTTTGTCAACGATTTATACAAACGAGAGGCTAACAACAATTTATACAAATGGCCTGCTAGCGAAATTATACAAATCTGAAGAGGAGCCAACGAATTATACAATTGCTTCTTTTTGTATATATATATATATATATAGCGAAATAGACATAGCTTTCAATTGTATATGTATAGTGAATTATACATATATATGTTTGCTATGATGCGCAATTATGCAAACTTTGTTATAGCATACAAATATGATTTTTTTGTTTGCTATATGTGAAAGTTGCTCTTTATATTACCATAGAATAGAGCATAAGATAAGAATACATTATTAATAATGTGGGAATTAAACATTTAAAGAAAAAACATGCTCTTTTAGTATAATTAATTTAAGTAATATATTTTCTTTATTAATGTTCACCCCCATAACATAAATAATCATATATTGAATATTAGAGGAACCCTTATTTACAACCGAAATTCTTTAACAAATGAACAATAAAAATTTCAATTCATCTTATACAAATATGAAGATCGAGAGTAACTCTAATAACGAGCCATAGTACTGAATAGAAATTGAGAATGAAGATACATATCTTTTGAATACACACTCAGTAACAAGAAGGCAAAACAATTATATTTCTACTAAAGGGAAAACTTATGCATCTTTACTATACAAGGAACTGTTTGTTGTTGGAAACTCTGGATATGCATTTTCATTCTACTACATCAAAATCTTCTTTCTTTTTTGTACATCAACAAGTTGAAGACTGTTGGTTGTATATGCTAACTTGCTATGTTATGTCAAGCTATATATGCTGTGCTTAAAAAGCCTTTAACCTACTATTTGCAAAGAAAGGCAAGCTAATTGGGAAGCCATAGTATCCTTCTTGGTCACGAACGTCATCCATACTTTCAATTACAAGGTTCTTCAGGCTCCAGAAAGTTGTGATATTCCAACTGAGTCATCTCTTTGCCGGATGCTGGGTCAAACTTGCATCTGAAAAAGCTGCAAGACACAAATTGAAATGTAAGAATTATAGCAGGGATCTTCGCACCTAAATCCATTATTCAGATGACTTGAGTTTTGACAAGAAGTTTCTAGTCCACTCAAAACAGAATGATCGTTGTCAATCTGGAAAATCTGATTTTCAATGTCAAAATAGATGGAAGAACCATCTCCATTCCTATCATTAACTAAAAAAGTGTAAACAGAGAAGAAATTCTGACTGCCTCTAACGCCGAATAAATAATTGTGTATATGCCATTACTGATGAATCGTCACGATAGATCCCAGTTGAAGTTAAAACTCAAATCTTAATTCATGTAGAAAATTACATAGGAAGGACCAATCATAATGGGAGCAGACTAAGATGTCCTAGAAAGACCGTGTAGTCCCCGAGATAAATCAGTTTGGACCCTTCAAATTTTCAGTTGCGGTGTCACTATTGATAACCATCTTTTCTATTGTTTTAAATATGTTGATCTTTGTAACTCTATGTAAGTAAATTGAAATTTATCTTTCTTCACTCGACAAAATTTAAATAGAAGAGAGCAAACATCATAATAGCCTTTCCTCTCTTTCGCTTAAAGAGAGGTCCCTGAGGAGTTCATGACCAGATCACATCAGTTATTTCTTCTGTACAAGCATTGCTCTTCAATATCTTTTACCAAGATAAGTGTTAGTATCTAAACATGTTTAATTAGTTCTATGAAAGCTAAAACAATTAGGATTTCGATGAAATTTTAATCTAAGAACGGAAATCAAATTCTTAGGTGGCAAATATTGCAAAGATGATTATGTTACAAGAAAGACAAAAAACCTTGCAAGAGTTAACTAACCTTCCGTCCCAGCCGAGAATTATAAGTGTATTATTTTCGTTGCCAAATGTAACAATGTATTGAGAAACACCAGGCAGTCGGAATTGAGCCACAGACCATTCTGAGCTAAAATACTTGGGAAGAGCTCCTGCAAGAATTAAGCACGAATTCAAGAACCACCTCCGTACTCTCACCTTTAATAGCTCATCACTTAATCATAGAAAGAAGTAGCAATAGTGTGTGTACCAGATGATAACCTAGTCTACATGAAGAAAGTTCCCTTGAAATACATAACATTAACTATGAAAAGTCCCCAAGGTATATTCTTCAGGCAAAATCACAGAGGCGGAAACAGAAATTATAGACTGTAATTTGTGCATATCACAATGTCCAAAGAAAGCATTTTCCATGACAAAAAAGTTCAGATGAATCAAATAAGGTTAAATCTATTATGGCCAGTTGACAAGAAATCTCCATCAACCATGACAAAGTTAATTAGCCAGCCGCTTATGACTCATCACTACAAACAAGAAAGCAAGTAATACTATACTATTATACTCCATAGTGGCAATAGAGGATGCTGTATAAAAAACAGAATTCACTTATCACATATCTTATGGAGTCAACATATAACACTGATTATAAACCACACAATGTTGAAAGACCACAGTAAAAATGACTCACTCCGAGAGCTTTTTAACTATGTGAAACAATTTGTCAAATAAATTCTTCTAGAATATTCTGTGGCTTGATAAATAGACAAAGAAGAAAATGTAGCATGTAGAGGCAAGGTGTCCTTTCAAGAAACAAAAGTTTGCTCTCTATGGTAGTAATTGCAATTCCCGCATGGAGTGCATGTAGTAGAATATTTTCACTATTTAAATAGATGCCTCAAAATCAGCAAATGAAGGTCATGTTCTTAGGGACAGAGTTAAAAATTAGATGCAAGATTTTTTATTGCTTAACAAGGATTTGTAAATATACATATTAAAATACCAAAATAATTTTATTGAGCATGAATGGATACCCATCTAAGTTTTTAAAATATAAACTAGAAACCTTAAATCTGCTTTAGAGATACCTCTGATGAAGGAGAAAGAACTAGAGGCTGCCACAGGAACACGGAAGTTGGAAGAACAATTTGACTTGTCAGTACTCCTGTTCCCTAGATTGACCTTAAGGCTGAAAACATGAACAGTGCCTTTGTCGCTGGAGACAGCTAGCCACTGAGCAGTTGGAGAGAATGACAAACTATATATTTCTGCTCTATCCAAACCCCTTCTTACCTGAATCATACATGATTGAGCAAAAGACAAACATGTAATGCTGTTAGTTGGTCGAAAGGAAAAATAAAAGACTCAATTAGTTGGAAGTTCAAAGAAATCGTGTAGGCAGGCAAAGAAGAAATAGAAAGCCATAAAAAAGTTCAATCTTACAATCTTTATCAATTATGTCCAGCTTCATACTATGGATGAGGATGACAAAATGTAGAAATTACTCTTGTAATTATGGGAGGAAAACTCATTCAAGATAGAAAAAGAGGAACTAGCAAACGATGTCTATTAAATTTGTTTTGGGTTCAAGGGAGTAAAAGGGTGAAAAACCATACAGATTTCTAGATTTCAAATACTTTATTTTATTTTGATAAACTGTAGTGGTCGACCCAGATAGGGGGTTGATAATATCAGAATACTGCAAGCTAAAGGTAAAACCTAATGAGGAAATTATAGAGTAAGTAAAACTGCTCCAGTAAGTTGGCAAAGAACTATAAAATATAATTTAGATGATCAGCCAGTCAGCATCATGCTGAATGATCATAAGAACAGAAATGAAGACTGACAACAGTTAAAGGGAATTTAAAGCAACTGGAGATTACTAATAAAGCAGCAACATAAAAAATTCTAGTCCATATAACAATGTCAATATCCCCTCCATCATTAAGTATTCTTATTTTTTGGCCCGACAAGGGAAAAAAATACTATGAGTAACAGAGATGCTGCGATTACTTCAGGTTATGTAACAAAAGAGTATGCAACATAGGATCAAACTAAAACAATGACGACACAAATTCCTTACCTCCTGCAACAATGTACCTTCTAGCGTGTTGAAAATCCGGATTAGTGTACCCTTGGTGCTTGCTGTTGCTAGCAGGTTGCCTTCCCTCGTAAGAGCAAAACATGCAAGAACTGAATCATGTGCTAAAATAGATTTTGTGCTTTTTGAAGCATTATGTTTGACCCAAACTTGACCCTTTTGCAGACCAGGGCACACCAATACAAGTTGATCAGCAGTTTGTGAAACCTCACAGAGCCCGTTTGGGTTTGTAGTTGTTTCAATTTGAAACAACAACTCCAGATTAGAAAAATTGTAGACAAATATCTTATGCTCAAGAACTACCACGAGGCAGTCCTTCCGAAGCCTGATGCGGCGCACCTCCGACCGGAAACAGAGCTCATGGATGCAACGGCTTTGCTGATCATCCCAGATCATGACCTTGTTTCGGGGATATTGTGGATGGTCTCCATGTCCAACAAAGGCTAATATATTGCTCCGAAAGAGCATTTCAATAATTCCAATACCACCTATATTTTCAAAGTTTCGACAAAAGGACTCACCGAAAGGGACACAGTTATATACTCCAAAACCGCGATCAGTGCCGATAGCAAAACAGCCGTAGTCTTGATTGAAAGTAACATGGTATGCAGTTGCTGAATGATTGACAAAGACATGATTAGAATCAACACCTGATTCGGGGTTTTTGATAGATGAACCATGAAGAGACTCATCATTTACTTGTTCAACAGCAGCTTGTTGTGGCTGCAGCCGATGTTGTTGTGCTTCTGGTTGCTCTAAATAACACTGGAGATTTAGAGAGTGAAACTTTGAGCTAGTATTTGGGAGTGGAAAGGGAGGGGAGAATGGTGAAGGAGTATCCATGGAAAGGGATACGTAGATGAAATTCAGTATCAGGCTTAATTACAAAGTAAGAATGATATATTGTTTCTAACTGAGGGCATGGCACTAAAACAAAGCTTTCAGACAACGTACAGGACCACATTCATACTCATCAATCTGCATCAAAGAAGAAGAGATGTAAAACTAGCTGTACTAATAAACAATGAATAACCAACATTACCATTTGCAAAAAAAAAAAACATGAATAACTACCAAAGATCACAACAAAATCACTGCAAGGGAAACGGTCAAACACTAGACAAATAAAGATTATTGTTTAAGTAGGATAAATAGCCAGTCAATTTGCTCTCCCCAGGAGTAGAGGGCTTTTGGTCTAGGGAAACTTTAATGAATCAAACACTCACATGGTTAACTATAAACTGACAAGTAAATACTTACATTCTCTGTATAGTGTTGAACTGGTAGAGCATCAAACAATTTCTCATACTAGTAGGTAAGATAATACGCTCACGTAGAAAAGGATGACTGCAAAACTAATCAGCAGTGGGAGAAGAGCTAAAGAAAATGGTAACAGCACATGATCTACGTATATATATTTCCTTAAAAGCTACAAGTCCTTCTGTCAGCCCAAAGAATGCTTAAGATCAAGTATAAAGCACATTGTGAAATGATTTTAAAACCCGGAACTAAATGTGTTGCACAATGCATCAAGAAACTCACTGAATGTGAGTTTAAACCCATAAACTAGGAGCAAAACAGGCTAAATGTTTTGTGTCGCTTAGCAGGCACTTCAGTGCAGTCACCAAGGTGCCAGATATTATTATTTGTACCTTTGTGCTTATAATTGTTATTCTTGAAAAACGAATACATGTTTGCATCTTTTTCTTCATTTGTGCCTTTCTTCATTAAAGCCTATGATTTACGCTTAAAACCCCAACAAACCTTAGCACTTTTCGCCTTTTATAATGCTACTTGGCGAGAGCAGTACTAGGATCAGTGATACCATAGACATTCCCAGTATTACATACTTTTTCAAGACAGCACCTGTGAGCTTTGAAAAGCATTACTCATCTCAACTCTCAAGTTAGCATTGTAAGAATAGACTTAATATCTTATATCTAAATATTAAATTTAGTTGGAAACCGATACAAATTAAGTTGAAGAAATACATGAAATTCATTTCTTCTACACCAACAAGTTAAGACTTTGATGTGTAATTCATCAGTTCAACTTGCAAGTGTCTACAATCAAATTTACCTCCAAGAAATCTCATTTGTTACAAATTCTACAATGCAGTCCAATTTATATGTAAGCTGGTGCAAGTTTTGTAGCAGGGGTGGTTTTGTAACTCATTCTCAAGTAGAAATTTTAATTTAATTTTAATTTTTATAATCAAGAAATCCCCAACGGCCAATGGTGCATCGTTCAAAACTCGATAGATAATCTGTCCGCCCTTTTGTCCTTCTCCACTTAAACACCATTCTGTCAGCCACAAAGTGAACCTCACTCACACATCATAAGTCATGCTCTTACCACTAGACCAAAGCCTAGGGGGCTTCTCAAGTATCACAATTTTTTACAAAAATGATTCAACCAGGTTTGAAGTACCCCATTTTAGGTAAAGTTTTCTAGTTCACCGTCTCCCCTCCCCCTCCACAAGACACAAAAAATGACTAAAAGCACCAAAATCTTCAAAGAAAATAGATACAAGTAAATACACATGATTATTCAGGGTCAAAACACAATACAAACTACTCTAACCCCCTATTGATCATAAATGAACTTATAATATCAAACCCATCATTCTTTAGCATTACCCTTTTGCCAAAACAAGAACATAAGGCATCACAAACAGAGTTGACAATAACAAATACAAGTCAACATTATATATTTGTATATGGTTCATATAAAACAAACCCCACAACCCCACATACATATATGACTACCTCACTTCATCCAAAAGCAAAAAGGCATCAAATTTGTTTCAATATATAATAAACATCCAGTTCAACATACCCAACACTGAAAAAAAAAATATATACAAGAAAATGTACTACAAGTGAAGGAGATAGATTGAAATTTGAAGGAGGAGCGAATACATACATGAAGGATGGAGACTGGAAATGGTTCTTGAATCTTGGAATTTGGGGTTTTGAATTTTGTAGAGAAGAGTGAAGGAGAAAAAAAAGTTCGGTTCTTGGAGAAATGTATAACTATTAATTTGGACTTAGTTTTATGGGACTTTTTGGGTAGGTCCATACAAACACGCGCGCATTACTTGGCTCGAAAGCAACAAGGACTAGATTTTTTTTTATACTCATCCCAATTTACGTGACACTTTTCGTATTTTAAAATTTAAACTAATTTATTTTTATCGTAAATTTTTCCTATATCTTTCAAATATTTTGAATTATCAAATATTGTGACTTATAGTATTTTCTTTTTACGTAGATTACAAATATATAAATTTCATTTTTAAAAAATTGAAGATTTCATGTGCAAATGTTCGTTTAAACTTAAATTGTTTGACTCTCGAAAAATGAAAAGTGTCACATAAATTAGGACGGAGGAAGTAAAAGAAATTCAATGAAATCAAATGTCCCCAAAAATAGAGAAATAAAATTTTGCATGATTGGAAAAATTGGTGAAAGAAAATTCTTGATACTATTATATGAAAAGAATATACCTCATCTATTCTATACTAAATGAATTTTTGAGCCAATGCATACATATTTAGAAAAACATTTAAAGACATAATTTGAATTATAATTTTCACTATTACTCTTTGTAAATTATAAATATAACTTTGTAAATAGTATAATTTATCTCCTAGAAAATATAAAACTTCAATAAATGAAAGGACAAATATCGGAAAAAATTTCAAACTTTGAACAATTCAGTTATTTTGATCAATGAAAAAAGACTAAAAAATTTCAGTTAATATGAAACAGAGGGAATACTTTTTTTTATCATGTGTGTTCTTGGTTTTCCTTAATTAGTATTAGAGTATATGCTTTTTTTTTTCTATAAGATTATATTTTTTTTTATAGGTTTTGTATAGGGGTATTCACAATTTGGATAAAAATCGATCTTGAAAAATCAAATCAAATTGATTAAGTAAATCGATTTGGATTTAGTTTTATTTTGTTAAAAAACGAAGATATAATCGAACTGACAAATTATATACATATATTTTATAATTTTATATACATAATATATATATTTTTTATAAACAATTTTAGATATAATTTTATATACATAATATATTGTTTTTTATAAACAATTTTAGATATAAGCAAAAACGCCCAAGGTGAGGTATTTATCTTATTTGTTTCATGTATATGAGTATTTATGGTAGTTCTTAGTGAGACTAGAAATATTTAAATGTGTTTACTACTAAACATTACATTTCTCTTCCTCAATTTGTAATCGCTCCTTCAAAATATTACTCAATAACCTTGAAAATGATTGATCTTGAACTTTTGATCGCATCTTATCCCACAGGCAAATTCAAGATAAAAAATCAAAAGTTCCATTTATGAGATAAAAACTTGTTAAACTTCTTGGAGCAAGTGGGGTCAAAAGTTCAAGGTCATTCACGTAAATCACACAAAAATGTTACATTTTCAAAAGTCCAGCAATGTTGTTCAAAAGAGGAACCAAAAAAGAGAAGAGAATTAGAATGGGAACTAGTCTATGATTAACTGGCTGTGTGCCAAAACTATATTATTCACCAAAACAAAAGCACTTATTACTTAATAAATAATATAAAAAAAAGCGAGCATGAAGTCAAGCCCCAATGCGAGTACTGGACACTGGGTGATGGACCAACTATTTCTGCAATTACCAATAATTCTAACACTGCCTTCACTTTCTAAAGCTTCAGAGATGCGGAACTGATCGACTCAGTGATTTTACCTACTGTTCTCATTGCTGAACCAACATCAAGTTGGTCAAGTGTCTTGAGGAACCAATAACCTTATATGTATCTAATTGATCTTCTTAAGGCAGTTAACATATGTGTAACTTGAGAAAGAAACAAATAGCTTGCGAAACCTGAAAAAGGCAAACCAAAAGATAGTCATAAAACATGTAATGTGTGTGGATAAAATGTTTTTGGGAAGACTCATCTGGCTAAATACCGATGTCTTAGTCCCAAGATCAAGTGATATCAGCAACTACTTTTCTACTGAAAGCAATACATCAAGGACAACAGTGTGATGTCTTGCAATCTAGAGGACTGGATGTGTCTTACAGATCATTTACTTTATATTTGATTTATCTTCTCCCTTCCATAATGGATTAAACCACTACTCCCTAAAGAAGAAGGAAATGAATGTCTGGAAAGCGAAGCTGAGATTGAAATGACCCTTCCTTTGTTTCTTTTTTTCGGACTTTTTTATACGTGTACCATCGTAAGCAAGATAATATAGCAAAGGTATTACATACCAAACCCACTGACTCTTGTGCTGAGCCATTGCAGCTAAGCTCCTTCTGGGATGTTCATTTAGCAAGCAATGCCTTACTCCGCTTAAATGGAACTTAGCAGATAGAAGGGACAGCCATATGTCAACTGGTCCACTGTACTTGCGCAATATGTTAGTGCTAACCTGAAAATGATTAATCACAGCCTCCAGTCAAAAACTTAAACCGTAAAATTGTGATATATAGGCAAAGATTCCAAACATAGTCATAGAAATGCAAAACCAATGAACATTTGAATTCTTCAAGCTATGATACTCCCAAGAAAAGGATGAGCTTATAAGTTATAAGGGACGACATGGTCAGTAAAATTTGTATAGTCAACTCCAACATGCTTGGAAGTGAGACATCGACATAGTTGTTTTATGATATTCCCAAGAAACTAAAATAAAAATCTACAAGTAGCGCCAAAGGTAATGAGACAAGGGAAGAACTCACAAGCTCCCAGGCTTCAACTTCTTTATGTGAAGTATCTTGCAATAGTTTTCTGCAAATGAAAAAACTATTTTATCAAGATGTGCTACAAAGTATGGAAGTAGAAAGGTATTTGTATTGTTAAAGTAGTAATTTTATCAACAGCATGGGCAGTTGAAAGACATAAAATAGTGGTGTGCCTTCAATGTTTAAACAAAGTAGATATTGCAAGGAAATTTAATTTAAAATAAAGCTACTAATTCTAAGCCTTACATGTTTCACTACCAAAGATTTTAGAAGACTAGTGGAAGAATATGCTACAACAACAATTACACCTCAATCCCAAAACCAAGTTGGAATCGGTTACATGAATCCTCACTAACCGTGCCACTCTAAGCAAGAAGTAAAAAAAGAAAAAGAAGTACTAGAATTCTTTACAGTTTCTACTTTCTACTGGTATATAAATCTCTGATATGACTAACAGACTCCAAAAGTCATCGGACCTAAAGTAAACACACAAACATGGCTATAATAACAGGAGAATTATGGTTAAGTTAGTTTGTTAAGTCATGAAGAAGATTTAGTTTGAAGGCTTACATCTACAAAGGAGTGTCCAACTCATCAACGTTTCCTTGTCATACAACTTACACAACATGTTATCGGCATGTCAATCAATTACAAATTCAACAAAGAAAAGTAAAGAATCCCTTATAATGATGCCTGTTCAAAAAACTTAACCAAGTATAAGAGAGATATCAAACTATAAAGAAATAGGATCATTATGATTTATGAAACTTTGCCAGTATTAAATATCACTGTCTATACTAAACAAATCTGTTTATAACATCTGCAAGAGCACATCCAATTACTACCAGAATATATGGTGACTAATTTCATTTGCAAAGTACTACTAATGGCTACCAGAATATGACAAATAACCTACCGTACACCTTGATGAACATCTTGATGGTTACAGTGACCTGAGACTCCATAATTATCAAAAGTTATGACCTGGAGAACAAATGTCCATGAGATGAAAAGGTGACATAATAAGATTTTCCTCTGCTCACAAATAATGTAAGGCAACATTTTGGATAAAAACACAAAGGAAAAACAGAAATTACAAAATGAAAAAGTGACTGCAAATTTATTTGTGAAAAGAAGAATCATAGGAATTATTGAGATTGTAATATTCAGTGTTAAAATAAATACTACACTTATTACAGTATTTGAAAGTTTTGAGTATTTTCTAAACGCAAAATTTATTGTCTACAACATGAACTATGAAATAGGCAACCGCTGCCTCATTCCCTAAATTTGGAACAAAATGAGGTTACCCCCATCTTTCTTTATGAAAGTTCCAGCTTTCCTTCTGAAAGGCTTTCCTATATAATACCGAACATTAAAGCTGCATAAATACAACGGTCTATCACATTAAAATTTTGCACTTGTTTCAAAGGTCCATGATATATTTGGTAGACACCAGGTAAGAAATATGTAAACCATTCTATTGGGTTCTCTGCTTAAATTCCAGATTGGTAGGCCTCAATGAAGACATAATAATGGATTCTTCCGTATAAATTCCAATTAAGCAGGGGGTAAATCAAATCAAATTCAGAATAATGAAAAGTATATTCTTCATGGACAGCTAGGAACTTATCATAGGCAGGAAGGGTGCAACTGATTCAGACTGTTATAATTGGAATTCAAGCATATTGGGCACAAATATTCATGCTACCATCCAAAATGTTAAAACTAATTGAAGCACATTGCAGAAGCTACCTATGGTTTGGAAGCAATACCATCACACGGAAAGCCTAAGTAGCTTGGGAAAAGGCATGCACTCCAACGTGTGTGGGCGGTATAAATATCACTAATTTGCTCCTTTGGAATAAGGCTGCAATCACAAAGAACTACTGGGATTTGGAGCATAAGGAAGACAGGATGTGGATTAGGTGGGTACACACCTATTACATAAAAGGACAACTTCTGAGCAATCTCCAAGTGCCAAAGCAAGCGTGTTGGATGATTAGGAAAATATTTGAAGCAAGGGCCTTTGCAATGCAGTCACACTCACTTGATTCTAAGAGGAGCGTCATACAAAAGGTATACAATCAGCTAATTGGTGATAAACCTTCAGTTCCATGGAAATGCTTAGTATTTATGAATCCAGCTAGACCAAAGGCTAGATTTACTACCTGGCTACAGATACATGGGAAGCTACCGAGCACAGATAGGTTACTAAAATGAGGAATGGTGATCGACAGTTCGACACCAAGTGCAGCATGTGCCAAACACAAGATGAATCCAGAGAGAACCTATTTGTACGATGTCCTTTCTCCAAAGCTCTATGGGATAGAGTACTACAGTGGATGCAGAGACCAATGTATGATCCTACCACCTGGGAACAACACTTCAGTGGATCATTAGAATAACAAAGGGCAAGACAAAGCAGGCTCAACGAAGTCGTGCAAGGGAAACAATAGCTAAGGAGATTGTATATATGTTATTTGTGTTAGAGCTCCCCCTAGAATACAATATGAAGTCCATGGCTACATTTTTTAGATTCTGTTGTTCTAATTAGCTCATAGTTTAAGTGGCAAGTTGAAATAGTTTGCTAAGTTGTAGCAAGCTATAGCAATGTAATTCAATACTTTGGTGATTAATAAAAGTCAGTTAGTTAGCCCAAAAAAAAAAAAAACTAAAATGAACAAATAAACAAACTACAGATCAAGATTTTAATCTAGCAAAGTAGAAAAGCCGCTTATACAATGAAATCAACAGGAGGAAACTTGAATAAGCGATCAAAGAAGCAGAAGCTACTGAAGATTATCCGAAAGACCATCTTAGTTGAACAAGATAATTAACTGAAATCACTTACCAAATCAATTGCACAATTGACAATTTCCTCCTTGATAATCTTTGACAATAACTTAGAGTTCCATGATTTGCCAAAACCATCCTAGTCAGAGCTACGCATTAGAACTCTGCTTAAACATTTAGAACATATAGATATACCATTCTGATACAGCCAGCATACCTGTAGATCTGGATGATCAAGGACTTTCACTTGCTTTTGTGGAACCTACATGAGTAAATTAATAGAGAACAGAAAGATCAATGACTCATATCTGACTAGCTTCTCCAACATTTTACAAAAAAATCTGTTATAGCAATTCGCAGATATAAAGGAATCCGTTATAGTTTTACATGAAAGCCAACATAAAAGATCACAGATCTAGCATTAATCTTCACATCACCTTAAGCACAATCGAGGCTAAATAAAGTTCTTCTTTTCTGACACTGCCCATACCATCTGCATTACCTATATTTCAGTACAATGCAACAAAGCAGCAAAAATATACTGAAAGTTAGAATCAGTGATAGACTATTGGTTATCTAGGATAAGGATTTGCTAAAGAACAGTTCTAGTGATTTGCGTTCTGATCATTTAAACATTCTACACTTAAAAAGAACTGCAATAGTTCAAATTTAGAAAGCGAATCTCAGGATTAACAACACTGCTTGAATTGGATCATACTTCTAAGAAAAATCAATTGCTTAAGTATTTCAACCAGTTCAAAAATCAACTTTTCATTTGAAATTTACTTTTTGTGTCTTGAGAAATATATCTGGCAACCAAAATACACATGCCACCCAAAAATTAGGCATAAACAATTTTTTATATTCAGCATCTGCAACAAAAATTGAAACATTCTACAAGTCTTACCTGTTGACATGCATAATATGTGTAAATTACATCCTCTCGAAGACAAATAATTAAGGGTTGGAGTAAAGAACCTACAGTATAGAGTAAAAAGCACCATAAGTCATTATCTCACAATAGTAATGCTTTCAGCAAATAGATATAATAATGATTACTTAATAACAAGATTGCCCAAACATTGAAAGGTCATTGTAGCATATGTGGGAACTGACATCGAGAGTTATGATCCTTGTTACCAACTACTTTTAAACACAATTTGCAAAGAAAAATATCCAGGAAAGGATGCTTCTCTTAGAACAAGCCTTAAGGAAATCTGATAAAATTTAGAAAAAGAAAGTTATAGCATTTTATTAGGTCATAGATTTTCAAGTATCATATGTATCAGGACATCATATGCTTAACAAAACAAAACAAAAGGTTTGAAATCATAATTTATATGAAGACAAATCATAATTCAGTTCTTTAATAATTTATTTAACAAAGGGGTCATAATTGAATCTTATAGTTTAGCCCACCAAATTTCTAGTCCACCGCGTTTCAAGATGGACATACAAATCCATGGACTTCATTCTTCTGTGAATGTGTTCAACTATGAACTCGACTGATAAAATTTGTTTCAATTGAGCAACTTTATGTTAGTGTATAACTAACGACACATAGGGCTCTCATAATCTTGAACAAAACTAACGTATAGTTGATGAGTCCACAAATTGGACTCATATAGGGCTATATTTTGATAGAATTAGTATCCTCAAATGCATATTTTATCTCAATATCTGATGAAAACCCTTAAGTTTCAGGTATTTGGAGTTTGAGGGAAAGCATGGACACTACTTAGCAAAAAAGGAACAAAGGCAGCTGAAAGAATGAAGAAATGAAGATCTGAGTATCGCCGAACCCATTCGGCGAGTCGCCAAAAGGTCTTATCCTCGCCTTTTGTTCCAGTGTGCTAAGCCCGGAAGGAAAGGAACAAATCGGCGGTGAAAAGGAGCAGTCGGCGTAACGCCGAGCAGTTCCGCGAAGCAGTACTATGTCACCCAATGATCCAAAACACGACGATGCTGAAGGATAGAGCAAGACGGCGATGAAACCTACCAAAGGGCGGATCGCCGAGTTGATCGGCGATCTCGACTAACGACGCCGAATGATCCGCTGCAGCACAGATTTTTGAAAACTATAAATACTCGTTGAGAGTTGTAGCTTAAAATGAGATTTTCAATATATAATTTTTCACATAGATTTTTGAGTTCTAAGTTTGGAGAGGGTTTTGAAGAACTTGAAGATTCAAAGGGTTTCAACTCCAACAATTTTGGTTTGGGTCTCTTGGATTCTTCACTCTTGACTTGTTTTGAGACTAAAATCTTCATACTCATTTGAATGCAAATGAGTAAGAATTTCTCTCTTTTACATGTCAAGCTAAAACCCCAATTCTTGGGGTGTGATTATGTGAATATGGGTTAGATTAATTATTGGGTCTTGCTTGCTGATAGTTTATTTGTTGTTTAGATGTGATTTCGTTTAGTAGTTGTGTTGGAACTTAATGAAATTGTAGTTGCAAATACGATTTCACCTTTGTGTTTTCGGCTTGCTCGAGAGAGAGGTCGTAAAACTAAGACTACCAAATTGATGGCCGGTGGGAGTGGGTCAACATGAGGTTCAGCTCGAGAGAGTGAACCCTAGTCCTTCTCCCACACACTTAGCGAGAGAGAGTGAGTAGGCTAAGGCGGAGGCTGTTCTTTGGCAAGTGGGTGTCCGAGAGGAACCCATTTGATTCGGGGTAAGTTGTTCAAGAGAAAGCTTACCCCACTATAGTCTAGCCTAGTCACAAATATTCAACGAAATTACTATCAAAAGTATGTACCCAACGATCTAGTATAACCTGTATTCCTATCACATCCCAAGAATCCCCTCTCCTTGATTAGTACCATTTGCATTTTTGTTGTTTTTGCTTACTTGTCACAAACCCCCATTGATAATTGACGCTTGCGTCACCCCTTAGATTTAACATGTTTATATTCGATAATGTTTTTAGCTATGACTAATTAGAACTTATTTTTATTTTTCTATTAATTCTCAAGCCCACTCCCTTGGGACTCGACCCCAACCCTTGGTTGTGTTACTATACTATTGTACGATCGTAAACACTTGCATTGGAAGTTGTGTCTTGATTACGCAAACATCAATAGTTCCAAGTGTCTTAGCCTGCAACTCCCTCCATAGCAATTCAAAAGTTTGCATTGCTCAGAAAATTAATGATACGAACAAATAACAACTCAAAGTTAACATGTTCAACCTTACATAGACTCATCATCAGGATGGGCAATAACCAATAAGACATTTCTCTTGCGAAAAACTCCACCTGAAACATAAAAAAAATATACATATTAAGAAGGGAAGCAATTAGCTGTGGAACAAACACTATAGGAAAGTTGTATGTATGCATGTATTTATATTCTAAGAGAATAATTCATAACAACACCAAGGCAGTCAGTAAATACAAAAGAAAACGAGAATTGACATTTTGTTGAGAAGTCACCCATACCATCATTTAAAACTGCAGCTTGTGAGGCAGAGAGAGATTCGTGGAGAATTTTAAAGAGTGAAGCCACCCACAGCACAACCAATGTAATGATGATTACTAGCCACTCCATTTAATTTTTTTGCCAGCAGAACTACAGATAGCACAGAGTTGTATCTGCATGAAAATCTAAATGAGTTGTATTACTAAAACCCATTATGGGCAAGTGAAACCGGTAGTAGAGATCAAACATCAATAATTCAAGGAGATCACGGAGACTACCAACAATAAACCTTACAATAATCAGTATCTCTACATTCAATCATTTTTTGTCAAAACTTGTCAAAAGAGAGTAGATTGGAATGGTTTTTTGGGGATGTGATCTTAATAGAGGAATATCACCTCTTCTATGAAAAAACATTAAAAGAAATAACAGTTAATAAGGGAATTATATCCTTTAATTTTAATCATTAGCCATAACTATTACATTTCGAAAGATAAAAGGAACACTTACCAATTTTCTTCTATAGAACAAGGATGTTGGATCTAGTACACAGAAATTGGAACTGGTTCAATCTTATTGTGCAGTTTACAAACCCTGCAAAAATATTAAGCTTATTTACATCAATATGTTACGGATTCAAAGACACCTTTTTTCTAAAAGAGGAAAAAGGAAAAGGAAAAAAATAATTGGAAAAGCTAACATAAACTCATTCATATAGTGACATAATGTACAAACAACCAGATAAACTAGCTCTTCAAAAAGAAAATTTTCAATATAAGTTCTTGTAAGACTAATTGAACCTTGTTTAGTCGTTTTAACTTGCAGACTAATTGAATTAACACTTCATGTTGTGCATCTTGATTCAGATTTGCATCTATGTTTGTTCCGCTTTCTTTTCGCCACACATAATTTGCTCTTTTCAAGTGTTCAGTTTTGACTTGCATAAATGAGTTTGATTTATTTTAACTCCGGCAAATGCTAAAAGATGTTTGGGTTTTGTCTTCTTGTGTATTAACCTTGTTTATTACAATATGCATTGGAACTGTTCAGAAATACCATGCGAGTTTGAGGAGTCAGTAGTTAAATTTTGGTATATGAATGTATTGCTGTTAAAATCTGTATTTATTTTCTTTGGCTTTGCTTTTCTTGTTCCTTTTTCTGTGCAGGAGTTTAGTCTGGTCAAACAGACCAGGATTTGAAGACACGAGACATAAACTCTACTCAAGGGCGGAGCTAGGTAGGAGCAAGGAGTGTCATCCAAACCCCTTCAACAGAAAATTACATTGTAGATACAAGGTAAAAAATATATATTTTAATGTATATATATTAGATGTTGAATCCCTTGGCTTTCATATTTTTGAACCTCTTAATGAAATTTTGGTTCTACCCAGAGTCTACTAAAAGTTTAAGGTAATTAGGTCGATTTTGGATAACTTTTGTTCTATTAATTCAATTCTGGTTTGTTGATAGACTAACCTATAACTAAATTACTTCAATTTCTGGTTTGTTGATAGACTAACCTATAACTAAATTACTTCAATTTCTGGTTTGTTGATAGACTAACCTATAACTAAATTACTTCAATTTCTGGTTTGTTGATAGACTAACCTATAACTAAATTACTTCAATTTCTGGTTTGTTGATAGACTAACTATAACTAAATTACTTCAATTTCTGGTTTGTTGATAGACTAACCTATAACTAAATTGAAACGAATCCATCTTTTTCAATGCAAATTCCCTTATTATAACATTATTATCCCTGCAGGCTGCAGGGTTTACTAAAGTTTGAAAATCTTCATGTATTTAATAATCTCAATACAGCAGCAGCTGCATTTGAAAAGGACACAGCATAAACCAAATCAGAAAATATACGTAAGATGGATTCCAAAGTGTAGATTATTAGGCTTTATTAATGCGTTTGAGAAGAATGAAAAGTGTGTATTTAACTGTAAAGATGACGAAATAGGAGTGATTAGCTTACCTAAACAAACATGGATCGACCATGGAGAGATGGAATTTTGGAGAAGAAGACGGGAATATCAAAGAAAAAAGAGTTTTTTTTTTTTATTATCATATTTTAACAAATTATGACAAAATTATTATTTTCATTCAATACTAAATTTATTATTAAACAACTTTATAATAAAATTTAAAATTGAGAAGAGGGTATTTTTGTCATGTTGGACTGCCATGTCTGTAAAGATAACGTTTTAAGGGTATTTGTGGTCCAAAACATAGACGGCAAGGGTAGTTTTGATCCTAAACATAATTAAAGGGAATATATGAGTTATTTCGAATAGTTCGAGGATAATTTTAACCCTTTTCCAAATAAAAAATGGAAAATGATTATCGTATGTTTCACCAATTTTCTAGGGACCCAATTGGTTATTTTGAGAAATATGTTTTTGAAAATAGCTTTCCAAAGCAGCGATTTTAGAAAGAAATACTATATGTTCAACAAATTCATTTATGAAGTGTGTATAAGAATTTTAAAATATTTTATCTGACCAATATTTCAAAAATGTCAAATTACAAATATGATATTTATTATAGAATTACATTTATTCAGATAAATAAATGATTTTAAATAGTTTGACAGAGTTTAGGTAAGAGTTCATTAATTTAATTTAAATCCAAACATACAACAAAATACATTAAATTTTAATCAATATAGTTAAACAAAAAGGAGGGGTAAACTGTTGTGTATTTATATTTAAGAGATATAAGTATTAAATAAATGATAAATAATTTTTCATAAATATAAGTGTCTGAAACCCAACTTAAAACTAGAGAGACTAAACCAACATGAGTTTGCAGTGATCGGACTACTTCATCCTTAACTAGAGATGTCGAATTCGAGTCCTGAGTAAAGATAAAAACCAGTCCCAATGGGCAATCCGAATTTAGTCGGACCTCCGAAGGGAAAAAAAACCAGAGAGGCTGTTAAGCTTTAAAATAGGTAAATAAAGAGATTTCTTGTAGCATAATCTCTCTTTCATTTCTGACTCATATATGCACAGAAAGCCTCGCCATAAAATAGAACTCAAAACTAGAGGAAAAAGGTAATCTTTAACCCTTTCCTAAAATGCATAAAAAAATGTTAAAAGACTGGCCAAGCAAATTATATGAGAGGATAATATATCCATTGATTACATCTAAATTGAAAGCCAAGGTCATTTACCTACAACAGATCATCATCATCATCATCCCCACTACTAAAGGATTCAACAAGCTCACTGTCATCTTCATCTTCACCATCTGTCACAATCTCCAATATACCTCCACCACCAAAGTCCACACCATCTACAATGAAGTCACCGTCTTCATCTTCTTCGTCATCAAGCTCACTCACACTATCATCATCATTGCTCAAATCATCTGCATCGCTTTCACCGTCCCCATCAAGATCCGTTCCAAGGATCACTTCATCGTCAATGTCATCATCATCGTCTTCATCCTCATCTTCACTTTCAGCATCGTCAGGGTCTGAATCATCCTCAGTTGGCCTCCTCCGACCAATTTCATACACCCTAGCAGAAGAGTACATCTCATCTTGGTCATCCATTGTGACCAGCCCAACAAATGAATCAGTTGGCTCCGTCGCAAAGTCAAGTACACAACGGTCTACTGGAATGGTTGCAATGTCAGAGTAGTTAACAGCATCCACCGTACGGAAAGCAGCAAAGAGAGGATGTTTAACACGACGTGTCTGGAATGCAGACATGACATCCTCAAGATTTCTTCTCAAGATGGCATATATCACATCACCACTTGCATTAAATGTTATTACAGTCTGGTCCAAAGACGGTACACTTCGCAGAAGCCTGAAGTTCCGCAAATCCCATACCTCAGAATTTATGATGACCTATCCAAAAAGATAACAGTTTCAGCAAAGGTAAAACCAAGATACACAAAGGTGAGAATAAATGAAAAATTGTTAAAAAGGATTTAGTATCAGGCTTATAATACTATCCAACCAAAGGAAAATGAATGGAATGTCTTTACCTCATTGCCAGCAGGATGAAAGCCCCCGCCACCATAGTCGGTAAATTGATCAAAACGATGAATTGGGCCAGAACCACGAGTATCCCATAAGACACCATTCCAGAGAAGCATATTGTCTGATGGGCTAAAATGTGCAAGGGAATACATATGTCCTCGGCCTGAAGGAATATTGGATGTGTCTGTAAGTTTCAGTTCCATTTGGCAGGTTTGAGTGTCATACAGAAGAATCTCGCGCCGAGATTGCTCTGCAGACAATGCAGCAAATGTTGTACCGAAATTGCTAAATCGAGCAGCTTTACAGCCTTCAAATGAATGCTTAGGCCCAGCTGAAACAGAAGTTGCATCCCATAACCGCACATCGTGAGCACTTGAAGACAGGAGAAGCTGTGTCTCAACAGAAAGGTAGGACTGTAGAAGTGTTAAAGGTGCCTGGTGACTGGTGAAGCTTTCTAAGATACTGCTGCTGTTAGAGTCAAATATTTTCAGCTCTCCAGAATGAGTGCCAGCAGCAATTTGCGAAGAATCTCCCATAAAAGAGACACATGTCAATAAGACACCAGCATCATCCCGGCAAGTGCGCCACGGTCTAAATCTACTGTAGACGAATTGTCGATCCTTACGCTTTCCGTGTGTCCCACCATTCAAACTTCTAAAATCACGAGTACTAAGCCGTGATGTCACATTTGATGGTGCATCAAGGCTTCGTTTTGGTTCAGGACAGACGTGAGGGTGCAAGAGCGAAAGAGGAGGTAACGTTGTGATGGGAGCAGGACATTGGCGATGCTGGTGCTTCAAGTACTGAACAACCACAGAGTCCAAGGTCAACCGCTCCGCATTTGAGGGTTGTGAGTCACTCAGAAGACCATGTTGAGAAGACGACACCATAGGAGTATCATCACCTTCAGTTGGAAAAGCACTTGAGCCAGGTCGATTATGGATCTCTCTCAAAGTAGAATTTGGTGTTGAAGGCACATTAGGATCTGATGGTAGACCACTTCTACGGAACGAATTTGGAGTGACACAAACCGGAGACCTGACTGTATGTTCACCAGTATTGAGTCGCTTAACTGATGCTACTGATCCACCTTCCTTCAGATCAGTTAACTTGCGTTTCATTGGCAATACAATGGGAGTTTTAAACATGATGTCTGGATCTCCACCAGATTTCACTGTAGATAGTGATGGAGTTTCTGATGTAGCTACAGGTGTGGCACACTTTTTCGAATTACTGAATTTGCAGCCTGATGTAGATGGAGAGACATCAACAGGAAGAGATTTTGAGGACACACTACGCGAAGATGAAAAGGCCAACGGCTTCCTTCTTGAAGAACAGACAATTGACTCAGATTTCAATCCGCCATCCTCATCCAATGACGGAAGTTTCGGTTTAGCTGACAAAAATCCTCTAGGTGCACGACCAGATGGCCACTGAATTTGAACTGATGATGTCTCCTGCCCTGATGTTTGATGTGCCAGAGATGATGGAGCAGCTAAAGATGGCAAAGGTGTCAACTGAGCCTCCTTAAGAAGCATAGTTGCAGTGTCTGTAAGACCAGAAGCTTGTAGGTGTTCATGGATGAGGAGTAAAAGTTCCCT